CCTCATAGGGTTTGGTCTCCAGGCCCCCAATCATCCTCACCACTTTCCTCTGTACCTGCTCCATTCTGTCCACATCCTTTTGAAGTGAGGCCTCCAGAATGGCACACAATACTCCAGGTGTGGCCTGACGAATGCAGTGTACAGCAGGACTATGACATCTTGCGATTTGGATGTTCTGCCTCTGTTGATACACCCCAAGACCACATTAGCCCTTTTTGTCACTGCATCACACTGGCTGTTCATATTTAACTTACAGTCCACCCATACCCCAAGATCTTGTACACACACACTGCTACCCAGAAGTATATCCCCCATCCAGTATGCGTGTTCCTCATTTTTGTTACCCAGATGTAGAACTCGGCATTTTTCCTTGTTAAATTGCATCTTGTTCACATCTGCCCACTTTTCCAGTGTATTTAGATCTCGTTGAATTCTGTCTCTCTTCTGGTGTGTTCGCTGCTCCTCCCATTTTAGTGTCATCTGCAAATTTCATGAGTAGTCCCTCCCCACCCTCATCCAGTTCATTTATAGAAAAATGAGATGTTGATGGAACATCTTTTTTTTCTGGCCTTGGAAATATTCAATAACAAGTATTTTTGACAAGACCCGTGGCCTATGATTGAGCCAGAAACACCCTGCAAATACACACTTTTGTGTGGCAGAATCAGCGTTGCCAACAGGCCTGGGGGAAAGCATAATTTCCCTTTAACAAAAGTTTAAATGTGTAGAAATGGGCGGCTGAAGTTTTTCAGGGCAGGGAGGGAAAGAACATCACCCAGTAAATACAATCCCATTAAGCCTCAATTAAAGGGACAGGCCATTTTCCTCCAGGCAGCTGGCGTCTCTAGTTGTATGCATTTTCAAGAAATAAGACATGAAGCACTTCAGATTCCAAGGGTGGGATTCTCCTCTGCCCACTTACTTGGCAGCAGCCCCCATGAACAGAGAGTTCTTCCAAATCAACATATTTATATATTAGTATAGGATATTGCATGGTCTGTGCTAGCCCGCTCTCCTAGGGCAGTTGCTGGTACGAAAGCTTATGCCTTGAATAAACCTTTGTTTGTCTTAAAGGTGCCACTGGACCCAAACTTTGTTCTGCGGCTTCAGACCAACAAAGCTACCCACCTGGATCTATTGTTGAAAACTGTATGAAAATCAAATAAATGTTTTCTAGTTCACAAGTTTGCTTTTTGCCCTGGCGGGGGAGAAGGGGAAGGGAAATCTCAAAGCATCTTTTAAAAAAATCCCTTCTGCACATTTTACTCGACTGAGCATTCATTCCAACACACAAGATACGTTTTGAGAATTCTCCCACTGACTAAAGAAGAGCTGTGGTTGAATTTGACAGCAAAGGTAAAGGCCATTATTTTGGGCAAGACTACCCCCCTTCATCCCTTGCCCATTTTCAAACAAGCAGACACTGTTTATAGATGCCAAGTTAAAAAGGTAAAGGCAAAGGTTCCCTTGCTCGAAAGCCAGTCAAATCCGACTCTAGGGTTGCGGTGCTCATCTCCGTTTCAAAGCCGAAGAGCCAGCGCTGTCCGAAGTTACATACAAACAAAATTCTGTGATACAACGGCATGTGAATACCACCCCATACTCTATGCAGCATATTGGCCAATATGGACTTTTAACTTTTCAAAACCAAATGGACTGCATCCATTTACTATTCTTGCTTGATGACTGCTTGATTATTTTGGGAGCAGCACAGTAAAGTGGCTAAGAGACTGAGCTCTGAATCAGAATCCTTGGTTCTTCTAATTCTGTCTCTGCCATGAATAACTAGATCTCTCAGCAGTGTGGGAGACATCAGTAATAGGAGTGTGCATTTGAGTATTTCCAATCCAAAACTGTGCCTGAAATTCTCCCCTTCAGATCATAAACATGCAATCCAAAACTAAGCAGGGAATTTATAACATATGAAATATTTTGAATATTCTCCGGTGCCATGCACATGCCATCATAATTGTGTGTTAGATTTTTACAATCAATTTACACAGTGGATACAGAGAAGAGACTAAGGTCTCTTCTATACTTCTAGCCAGGAATACTTTTGATTTTTATGAAGTAGTCTAAAGCGTTAAAGCTTAATACTATTCAATACACTTAGGCAAGCCTTTTCAATATCTCAAATGGTTCTGTGCTGGGCCAGACTACTGGCAGCAACTGACTACAGTAATGATTGTACATTTCACCTTCTTCTGTCTGCTCCCAATATTCAGAATATAAGAGCCCTGCTGGATCAGGCCAATGATCCATCTAGTCCAGCATCCTGTCTCACAGTGGCCAACCAGTTCCTCTGGAGGGCCAACAATAGGGCATAGATGTCAAAGCTAACGCCTGATGTTGCCTCCTGGCTCTGGGATACAGAAACTTAGTGCCTCTGAATGTGAAAGTTCCCCTCAGTCACCATGGCTAGTAGCCATTGGTAGACCTATCCTCCGTGAATCTATCTAATCCCCCCTTTAAAGCTATTTATTCTTGTGGCCATCGCTACGTCCTCTAGCAGCAAATTCCACATTTTAATCACTCTCTGTATAAAGTAGTATTTCCTTTTCCCCATCTTGTTTCATTGGATGCCCTCAAGTTCTAGTATTTTGGGAGCTGGAGAAGTTTCTCTTTGTCAACTCTCTCCACCCCAATTATAATTTTATAAATCTATATCATGTTCCCCCTTAGTCGCCTCTTTTCTAAGCGGAAAAGTCCCAGACTCTTCAGCCTTTCCTCATAGGGGAGGTGTTCCAACCCCCTTATCATCCTTGTTCTCCCTCTCTGTACTTATTACACAAAAGGACACAACCCCATTGTGAGAATCATCTGTACTAAGGACATATTTAGAAGTGTCCTCTTTTAGTAAAAGGCAGTTGGAAGTCCAACATTCTGAACTTGGGCACACTTACTTGGGAAGTTGGCACACTGGAACCTATGGAACTTACTTTCTAGTACACATGTACAGAATGGCCCTGTTAGGCACTACAAAAAGTGCCAAATCTGAGAGACAGGAATATGGATGTGTTGTCAGGAAACAAGAACTCAAGTTCTTACAGCATTACAGGCCAATCACAAAAGTGGCATCTTTATTCAATAAGATATAGTACAAAATGAATCTGTACATCTTTCTATTAACAGGATTTGTTTACACAGTTATATTACACTTTTTCCAGCTTTTATACTGCATCATCTTAAATACAAAAGAGAATTTACAAAACCCCTCCGATGCTTAATGACGCAGACCAATGTGAAACAAAAAACCAATTTCTTACTAGCCCTCTCCAATTGTACTCATTCAATTGCAGCTCTGAAATCATACCAAGCACTGTGGGGAGGGGGACTGGTGGAGTGGGTCAGCATAAAAGCATTCTGTTACTAAGAACTGGAAAAATAAACAAACCTAGTCATGTGTGAAAAGAGTTATGCATATATTTTAATTCAATTGTAAGAACAGATCTTAACCCTCAATGGAAATAGTACATCAACAGATCGTAAATTGTGGTGGCAATCCAGTTTATATTAATCCTAGCTTGCCACTTAGGGGTGTGCAAAAAAAGAAAAAAAAATCGGCCCGATACTGAATCCGGCAGAATCAATTTCGGCCAACAGAAAGACCCCCGCATGTCAATTTCGGCAGTAGGAGCCAATTCGGAAGTCTTTTGGCCAGCCGAATGTCAATTTCGGCCCCATTATATCCTATGGACCATTGAAGTCAATGGAAAAAACACAGGGTATATTCTGGGGGCTGGAGGGGTTTGAGGGAGAGGCTTCAAACTCTCAGGGTAGCTGCTGGAGCCTCTCCCCAAGATACCAACAAAGTTTGAAGAGCATTGGACCAGGGGGTCCAATTCTACGGCCCCCCCAAACAGGTTGCCCCTATCCCCTCCATTGTTCTCTATGGTGGGAAAAAAGTAACTATTTTTCCCACCATAGAGAACAATGGCGGGGATAGGGGCAACCTGTTTGGGGCCCGTAGAATTGGACCCCCTGGTTCAATGTTCTTCAAACTTGGTGGGTACCTTGGGGAGAGGCTCCAGCAGCTACCCTGTGAGTTTGGAGCCTCTCCCTCAAACCCCCTCCCCTCCAGCCCCAAGAATATACCCTATGTTTTTGCCATTGACTTCAATGGCCCATAGGATATAATGGAGCTGAATTGCTGCCATAATTCGGTGGCAATTCACCGGCAAGCCGATTCAGATCAGAGAATCTGAATTGGCCCACAGCAACCCGAAAGGGACCCAAATGGGCCATTTTCGGGGGTGCATTTGGTTCAGACGAACTGAATGCACATCCCTACTTGCCACTCACTCCTAGGCATATTTACTTGGAAACGAGTCCTAGTGTTGATGGGGCAGAAATCCGTGCACACACTGAACACACTTGGAAATACAGCCCAAGTACCAATGAAACAAGATCAAGATGGGTAGCCCTGTTAGTCTGTCTGTAGCGGCAGAAAAGAGCACGAGTCCAGTAGCACCTTAAACACTAACAAAATATGTGGCAGGGTATCAGCTTTCGTGAGTCACTGCTCACTTCTTCAGATACAGCTAGAATGGGAGTCTCTGTCCTACTTATTGAATAGTGATTTCAGATGCTGAATGACATTAGCAGGCAAATAATAATAGCAGGTGAATGACAATAGCAGGCATGATTGGATTTACATGAGACATGCAGAGGGGTAATAGGCATGGAGAAATCAGAATTGGTAATGAGACAGGAAGCCTAGGTCTTGATTCAATCCAGGTGGATGCATTATCTTGCACTTCATTATCAATTGCATACCCCTCTGCATATCTCACCTAAATCCAATCACACCTGCTATTGTCATTTGGCATCTGAAACCACTCCACTTTCCAATAAATAAGACAGATGGAATCCCTTTCTAGCTGTATCTGAAGAAGTGAGCAGTGACTCATGAAACCTCATACCCTGCCATATATTTTGTTAGTCTAAGGTGCTACTGGACTCTTGCTCTTTTCTACTGCATTGAAACAAGTTAGTGGAGCCAGAAATCCATGGCTTGCAAGCAAGTGATGCTGATGTACCTGTGTTGCACACTCAGCATTGACAATTTGCTTTACAGGTGCTGTGTCTTTAGATCACACCTCAGTTGTTTCAGTGGATGTGATGCCTCATGTTAAAAGTGGAGTCTAACACCGTCCCAGTTATGTTTGGCTGCCCAGGGAACTGTTATGTGCACAAAAACATGGAACACTTTCCTTCATTTCTCATCCCATTCGAGGGAAGCAGCCCCTCAAGGAGAGATACTAATTACTTCTGTTTTTAAAGGCAAGCCCCCACCAACTTTCCCTTCTGGGAAAGTTAGCCAAAATATTTCACATATATACAAAACTACTTTATGAGGAAAGTATTTGGAGAGCAGCCACAGGCCACCAAGATGGTGGTGGCAGAACTCAGAAGCCTGACCAGACTTGTGGCGGAACATCGCTATTTCAAATGTCTTATGGACTTTTGGATTAGTGACTTAAGAAGACTTGAGCAAAACACTTCACTTAAAACATTGCTACTGTTTGAAGAACTCTCAGGTGAGACTTCTAAATACCTAGTCTTGGATCTTTTACTTTGTTATCCACCTATGCTTCCTTTGTCCGCTGCAAGGTGTGTGTTCCCTGAGTGCCAGGCACTTCTGCTCATACAAGGCCAGTGACTTTTAAGAAGCCGAAGAAGTGCCCAGCACAAGGCAAGAGTAATGTGCTCTGCAGCAGATGACTGCCTCTGCAAAGCACAATGGGGAAACAAGAAAATCACTACTGAATATAACTTTCGGATTAAGAAGTCAATTCAAATTGGATAATTAAAACCCAACTTCTCTCCAGTTCTTCTAAGATGCACTCCTAGCACAGAAAGAGAATGCTCTCCAAAATCACACTCCATAACAAAACTTAGAAACCAAACACTATTTCCCTAGCATAGACTGTGTAAAAACAATTTTGTTTGAAGTTTTTTTTAATAGCATTCACAAGGGTTAGGCGCAGGATGGCCAAACAAAGTAGCTGCGTAGTAGGCAGAAAACCTAGATGATCTACTCATTATTCATAAATCCCTGAGTTAGCTTGATGTTTCTCCATGTATCTAGTGCCAACTAAATCATATGCGAATGGATACTATTGGGGGAAAATGAGAAAGCCCAGGGTATGCATGGGGTGAGGGAAGAGAACCTTATTGCTCATTTTGTATTTAAGAGAAGAAAAGAATTCAAAAAGCTAAACATTAGGCAGTATTTCCTTATTTCCCCAAAGCCCAGGCTAGTACAGAAGGTAGATATGAAGGCTACAGTTTCTCAATCATTAACTGGATAAGAAAAAGCAAGATTCAGTCTTTATGTCCTTTTAACAAATAAGTTTTAACAGGGTACAGTCACTCTTAAAGAGGCTTTGTACATGGATGGATATTCTTATGAACCAATGTGCAGTTACTGGTTGTCATTCTAGAGAAAGTAAAATCTGGTTTCAATGTGATACAAGCAAATAGGACTGAAGGATCACAGTATATGCATAATACTTGGGCCTCACTAAAATCAAGCATTTCTTTTGATTGCACATATGGCCCCCCCGAGGTTGCGGTCTCCCACCTACTGATAACCGGCCATACCTAGTTACATCAATGGGCTGGATTCTCCCTACAGCAAGCATGACTAGTAATTTAATATGTTTTAATGTGTTTAAATTTTATTGAACTCTTGTGACCCGCCTTGAGCCCATTTACGGGATGGGCGGGATATAAATGCGAAAAATAAAATAAAAATAAATTATAATTTGACACAAAATTAATCATAATAATTTTGACAGTTCTCAGTGGCCACTCTATAGTTGTCAAGAGCCAGCTGCTTGCTAAATCACATAGCAACCTTCGTCCAGGGCTGCGGGAACTACAGATGTGTCAAATACTTATCTTCCTCCCCAGCCCACGAACAATGCTTTTTTGAACTGTGGCCTATATGTCAATTAAAATATAACATTTCATCCTTTTTACTCATGGTAAGAAGAATATTTCCACCTCACCCATTTGATGTGTGCATTTTGAAGACCATCTACACTATGTACAAGATTATCTGCCTTCGTGACACTGTAGTTAATCTGCAACCACAATGCTTTGTGTCTAGAAGCCTTTCCCAGACAATAGTAAAGCATTCTTGCTCAACCATGTGCTTCTATTTCACAACCATAGAGTGTCTTGTTTTGTGGATGTGCAACAAGGTGTTCCAATGATAACTATAAACCAGATTCCCAAAATGATTGATGTACACAAAAAGTGAATTATGTGCTTCTCAAATGCACTGTATGAGCTCTGGACTAAGGACCAACGTACAACCCCCACACTATTGCCCACAGTACCCGCAGCTCATCTAATGTGGCTCTAGGAGCACTCATTGGTATCTGCCAATGATGTAGTAAAAATAATGTATTTCTGTCTAGGTCTACTGCCAGAAAGTTATCCTTGTATTTTTACTTGGTATATTAACTTGCCTAAACAGGAAAGTCAGGAAAAGCAATGGGACTGGGTTTGCAAAGAAAACTTAATGGATGGGATATTTTCTACTACAAAGGTAGCTCTTAGCTGTTTTGTGACAAGCGGCTCTGTAAATTTTGTTTAAGCATCTTTGACAAGATGCAGAAAAATCTGAGGTATGCTTTCTCCTGACATCCTGTCTAGCACAGGTGTTTGGGGGGTTTAGAATCATCTGGTCTATACAGTGAGGGCAATTAGCCAATAATGTTTGGTGCCACCTCCAATAGAAACTGGGACACACATATTCTGATGAGATATGTAGATTTCCAGTTACAGTAATAACCCCTATTATAGCACAAGACCCTCCCCATTTATGATATCTAGTTAAGACAAATCTGCCTCATTAAAGCTATCATAATAGTCTGAAAAGCAAACCACCGCTACTTCATAAGATGAAGATTTTTTTAAAGACCAACTACTGTTGCGCTCAGAAGGATTCTCTAACACTTGGTGTCAATCATGACATATCTGAAGACCACCCATCTTTTTAAAGGAAAAGTAAACAAGCTAGTCTTGTGACCCCCCCTTCCAAGTTAAAGAGAGTCTGAAAAGACAAATTTGAATTCTGCATACTCAAGGGCTTTGTTAGATTTCATGTTACAGACGTAGTCCATATCCCTAACCCTTTTAGGCCATTTCTGCTACTAGCAAAAGGGTACGTGCAAGAGGTGAGGGATAAGTCCAGACCACAGAGAACGAGTAGCATTCTCATCATCGCACTGACTGATTGTCTTTATCTGCTTCTTATGACTGTTGTATCCAGGTTAAACCAGCCAAAACAGATACAAAAATACTATAAAGTGATTAAGACAGCTTTTAAGGAAGAAATTTGGGACAACAGGGGAAGATAAAAGCATCGTGCTTATCACAATGTCAAATGTACGCGAGGACAGAGCTGACTTTTGCTTCGGAGAGTGCAGGGCTGGTTCTCCAGTGTTGTATGAAGCCTCACAATTACGTTTTCCTTTCTGGATAGGGCCGGCTTCCATCAGGGAGGGCAAACTCTCACAGCAGGATGGAAAAAGGGCTCTGAGTAACAATCTGGATACAGCAGGCATCACTTTTGCAGTAGCACACTTGTGTCTCACCCCTCCCCCCAAACTATTGTGTTATTCCATTGGCACTGAAATAACATTCATCTCAGTCTTAAAGAAAGTTGCATATCCCTGGAAAAAAAGGCAATGTTCTCAGCAGCTTTCAGAATGCAACACTTCTTTTGTCTCTCTGGTGTGAAAGCGACCATCAAACTGGTGTTGTTTAAAAAAAAACACAAGAGCAGTCCCAGCTGGGAAAAATCCAGTTCACTTCACCAAGACCCTTGGCTTTTGCTATTGCTGCGGCTGATGTTCTGGAGGAGGCTCTTGGGGAGGAACGGCTGGCCGGGGCCCAGCAGGCCTGGGGATTGCCTGATGCTGCCTCTGCCTGTAAGCTATAACTGTGCCCAGGAGCAGAGCAATGATGGTCATGAGGTAAAGGTCCCACTCCGGTCCCAAGAGCTGATCCATGTCAAGGTGGGAGAACACCTCTTTGATCTAACAAGGAAAGAAAAAAGTGACACTGTATTATTTTTTTTTAACAGCAGGGAGAAAATACAAAGAAGATATGTAAAAGGTTGTCTGCAGTGTATGTCAGCAACTTCTCCCCGACGAACTTCTCCCTGTGTGGCAATCTTAGCACATGTGCCACACAAGCAATCTCTAGAAGTCTTGAAGCACCACCATATGTTTACCCCACCCATCCTTCAAGGATCGTAAAGTGCTGTACGTGGTTTCCCTCTTGAACATTTTGCCTCCACTGAGAGGAAAGTAACTACCTCAAGATCACCCAATGGGTTCCATGGCTGAGTGGGGATCTGAACCTCAGTCTTCCTGGTACTAGCTTAACACCCCCCCCCCCAAAATGACCATGGCACACTGGCTGTCGATATACAACTCCAGCTACTGTGGAACACACAGGCTTGGATCCCATGAATGAGTTCCCTGCATGCTAATCTCTGCTGCAAAGCATGCTTCCGCTTCCAACAAAACTCCATTAGTGCAAGTTCAATGGTTTCCAATGGACCCTTTAGTGGAGGAAAACACATGCTCCGTGGCTGAGACTGGCACGTATGGAACCTGTTCAGAGAATCCAAGCCACAGCATAGAGGTTTGTTTTTACCATCATGCTTCATTCTGCACACTGTAGTCTAGAACCTATGCAAAACCTGGAGATGTATAGCACAGTCATATCGTTGATCAAGATGGGTAGCTGTGTTAGTCTGTCTGTAACAGTAGAAAAGAGCTGGAGTCCAGTAGCACCTTAAAGTCTAACAAAATTTGTGGCAGGGTATGAGGTTTCGTGAGTCACCGCTCACTTCTTCATCATTACTGAATCAGTATCTGGAGAAGTAAGCAGTGAGTCATGAAAGCACACACCCTGCCACAAACTGTGTTAGTCTTTAAGGTGCTATTGGACTCCAGCGCTTTTCTACTGCTACAGTTGTATCATGTTATTAAAAAAGAGAGATAGATTTTTTACCCCTTGTTTCTGTTAAAGAGGTACAACATCAATAATATTTCTCCCTTTATTGATCCTGGAGTTGTACATAGCAAATTCAGCCATCTGCACTACTATGTAAACACTTATTCTGATCTCTGTCACACAAATAAAAGGGCAAAAGTGGCTCAAATTCTCCTGAACCCCTTCCATTTGTTAATTTGCACCCCCCACTCTGACAAACCCTTCAATTCTATGCTTCTTTAGATAAAGGAGTTTAAAGTGAGGGCTCCAAAATGGATAAAGGTACCCTCTTCATTTCACCTTGCTATTCCTGCACATTCTTGTTTCATAGCTTGTTGCACTGTCAGGCAATGCTGAATTGTAACCAGCAGATGGATGCACTGAAGTACACAGGCATTACAGATTGTGTGCACAAGAGTCTGAACAAGAGTCAACTCTTTCTAGAGTGGTTCAGAGTGCAACAAGCATGTTGGATCACACAGAGCAGGCTCTGGACTGTATAAGACTTTCAGTGATACTGAAAGATGAGCTTTCAACCATTTCAGAACAGCTCCTGCATCAATGACAGAGAGGGGCTACGTGCAGAATGGACCAGTATGATTACTCACTAAAACCCATACGGCTAGAGTAGCCAGATGAGTCAGCCAGTGCAAGCAGTACTACTTGCCATTTTGAACATAAGTTTTTTAAAAATACTTTTTATTGCTTTTCTTCCTACACACTACAAAGACTATACCCTACAAAACTAAAACTACAAAGAGTAACAAGAACCTTTGACAGGCTAATCAAATGCTTTAAGTATATGTCTACATGCTAAAAATTTCATTAAATTCTTTAAAATCTAATAAAAGTGTTCAAAAAGAAAGAACATAAAGGCATTTTTGATATTACATCACATCTGGTTGAGAATATAAGTAAATTAAATGTCAACATAGGTAATCTCAGATCTTCACTTAAATTTCTTCTTAGCTTTGATTTTCTTCTTCTTTTGGCAGGGGAGATTTACTTTAAACGTTTTAGGGGCCGCATCTCCTAAATCCGAATCCAAGTCAGAGATTTCACCCAAAGACACAGAAGTAGTTGTAGAAGATGAACTATCCGTATCGGATTTCTGTTGTTCGCTGTTTTTCCCCATTGCCTTTTCTTCCTCTGCTCCATTTCTTTGTTTGGTTGAGGATTGTTGCTGTTTAAGAAAGAGTTCTGCTTTTAATAAAAAGTCAATCTTTTCCTTCTTCTCCTTAAAGTTGAACACAAGTCCTTCTGGAAAAATCCATCTGTACTGGACATTGTTCTTTTGGAGGAATGCTGTAACATTTCTGTATTGCTTCCTTTTCTTGCGTATTTCAAATCGGACATCTTTCAATATTTTTATCTCCTCTTCTTGAATTTTAACTGTTGTCACTGTAGCTGCTTTAAGTATTGAGTCTCTTATTGATCTTTTTGCAAATTTTACAAACATTTCCCCTGGGAGATTATTCCCCCCCACAAACTCTGAATAAGTTCATATCAATATCTGCTTGTATTAATTCGGGTTTGTTATTGATTAAGGGGGCCATTGCTTCGCTTATAATTTCTCTTAAGTTCTCATCTTTTTTCTCTGGCACCCCTTGGAATCTCAAGACGAAAGAGGATCTTTCCATTTGTAGCTGTAGAAGTTGTTGCTTTTCAGAAGTTTTTTCTTTTTCCACTTTGTCCATTCTTTGGTCTATTTCTTTGGTCTTAATTTCAACCTTTTTTTATCTTTTTGGCTGACTTCTCTGATTTGGCTGCAGTTTCCTTGAGCTCTTTCTGTAAAGTGTCCAATTTTTGGTTGAGGTTCGTAAGCTGGTCCAGCAGAGGACGCATGGCTTCAGAAATTGCAGTAGCTAACTTGCTGGTATTTTCCGGTCTTGTGACTGGTGATGCTGTGCTGGCATTTCCTGTAGAGCCTCTGCCTCTGGACACCATTTTACTCTCACGCTGAGACATCGTTTATACTTAAATAAAAGTTTGTAGAAGTTCTGAGATCTTTACTATGTTGTAACTGCTTAACTCAGATGTATCCCGCTTTGAAAGGGGTGTTAATAGCCTGAATCTGGTTTGCTTCTACACTGCAATTTCGCTAGTAGGTAGGGTTCTTCCTCCGCGAGTTCCCCCTTATCTCTTTGAAGCTATGCCATTTTGTTATGCAGATTTCTTCCTCTGCTTTAAAAAGGGTGTTAATCGCCTGAATCTGGCTTGCTTCTACACTGCAATTTCGCTGGTGGGTAGGGTTCTTCCTCCGCGAGTCCCCCCCTTATATCTTTGAAGCTATGCCGATTTCTTCCACCACCCTTTTTGTATATGACTTTCTCTTTGCCACTTAACTCACTGTTTGATTAATCGCTGGATTGCTTTGTCTCGTAGATTTTCTTTTTAGTTAAGTCCTTGTACGCTCTGGTCCAGTAACGTCTCTGAGCGCCATTGCTGGCCGCGGGACCTATCGGAGCAAAAAGGAGCACTGTGCCCCCAAGCCGGAACTTCGGGAGCAGCGCCTTTGGCGCTCCAGGCTAGAAGCCCCCTCTCGGAGCTTCATGGAGAGGTTGGGACCAGCCGATCCCCCTCCATGCCGTCCCAATCCGACTCGCCCCCATCAGAGCTTGATGGGTGCGACCGTCACGAGTCGCCGTTCACCAGAAATCACCATTTTGAACATAAGTTAACGTACTAGCTGACTAGGAATGAGATGTCAAGCCTTAAATACAAGTTAGTATCACAACTCAGGTGGAATGAGCAATAAGTTCCTCCTACCTAGGAACACATTACTGCTACAGCCAGTTTGAGCTACAGTAAATGTTTCTGCACCTTACAGCTCTTTCACATGGTATCATTTAACCTTCAAGCCATCCCAGTGGGTCACAGCAGACACAGGTAGGAAGGATCATTGGGACCAGAAATGTCACATTTGTTAAGATAATGTTCCTTGCCTGTGAATCCACTGGGTTACTTACATTGGTGTCTTGAATATACTGGAAGGCATAAATTATTCCCAATTTGCAGAGTGCAAGGAAGACAGGAACTTGAGCATCAGGACTGGCATCAGCTGCCATGTCATAGAAGCGTTTTGCTAGGTGGATATCCTGGAAAATATAGGATATGTTTACATGCCGATGTTGGGATTTAAGTCTCAAAGATGTATAATTTTTAATTATTTATTTTGGAAAAACAGTGAGGGTACAGAAAAGGGAAAAAGGAAAAAATGAGTTATACAACACAATTACATTTGTCGAGGACAGTCATGCAGTACATAATGTATAGGACAGAGAATAATTTCCCTTTCATTTTCTTCATTATATATAATCTTTAAGGTATTATCTGTAAAATACAAGAATTCTTATTTCTGCTGGGGTACAATTATAGTCATCATTTAAGTTTGAAGTTTCAAACAACTAATCTATTTTGACTACACTTGTTTCATCATTACTGCATATTCAACATATATTCATTAGAACTTTTAATAGATAAGTAGTATATCATGGTGTGAAAGTCTATTATATATCTCATATGCAGAACCCATTTATATTTGGGATATTACATTTGGAACAGATTTTAAAAAGTAATCTCTTCTGGTTGTGTTAACAATTTCATTATTGTTTTTCCCCCCTGTTAGTTTTATAGCCTGATAGGGATCCAAACTCTTCAGTATGTTCAATTACATATTGCAATGATTTCTGGGGCCTCAAGATTGTTGGAACCACATCATCTGCATAACTTTTCATTTTGAACTCTACATCATCCACTTTTATTCCCTTGATTCTGTCATCTTGTTTAATCTTTATCACTAAAATCTCTATTGATAGTATAAATAAAGGGGATAAAGGACATTCTTGATGTGTTCCTTTTTCAACTGAAATTGCTTCTCTTAGTTGCCCATTAATTGAAATCTTTGCTTGTTGGTTCAAGTATATTCCACGCATCCAGCTCCAAAATGCAGGACTGCAGCCCATCAAAGATATATTTAATAAATAAATAAATAAATAAATAAATAAATATTACTTAAATGGTTAGGACAGGAAGAAATCAGTACTTCTCAGTGTTGCAAGAGGAAAGGTTGGCATAGTTAAGAGTTTGGACAATTATGCCTTTACATCTCTTCAGCAGCAAAACTGCTAGCACTCCAGCTTTTGGCTATTAAAGTCTTCTTGTGTTACGCTGAAGTCTTTTACATGACAGATGCCTTCTATCCCTCTAGCCAGATTATAAATTCTAGAACAAAATCTCCCCTCCCCCAGTGCACTATGCCCAGGGCACAAAGTACATTCTTGGCAGGAGACAACTGATTTCTACAGAAAGCTACGTATATATATTTCTATAGAAAGCAAACTTATAAAACCATGCATCTCAAGCAGTGTTCCCTCTAAGCTGAGTTAGTGTGAGCTAGCTCACAGTTGTTTAGCCTCCAGCTCACACATTTTTGCCTTAACTCAGGAAGGATGGCTCTGCCTCTACAGCAAACTAATTTATGCAGTAGCCAAATCACTCACTCACAACTTTAATGCCAGTAGCTCACAAAGTAGAATTTTTGCTCACAAGACTCCACAGCTTAGAGGGAGCATTGATCTCAAGCTGTGCTCACCTGCTTGATGCCAAGTCCCTTCTCATGCATGTACCCAAGGTTGAACATAGCTTGGGCACTATGTTGATGCTCTGTTGCTAGGTGGTAGTGAATAAATGCTGTTTCATAATCAACGTCCGTACCAAAGCCATAAAAGTGGTAATCGCCAAGTTTGAGTCTAGCAACAGTATAACCTATTACCGAAAAGAACATATATGGAAAAACCCATGAGCTATGTTACATACGCTCAACCAATTTAAGATGCTCCAGTACCTTTAAACAGGCTTCACACTGCATTTGAAAATGAGTTTTGGAGTGATGGACAGAAAAATTTGGATTGGCAATACTGAGCTAAAGATACAGTACTAAAGACATACACTGGAGTGAAAAATGCATGCAGAAGAAAATCTTCCTTGCTCCCCCTTTTCTACAGCAGTTCCCAGTGAAGAAATTGCTGAAGGTTTAGGGGATCCCTTCAGACAAAAGGGCAGGTAGCACGGAAGCGTCTTCTTGTTGTGCAAGGGAAATACCTTTTTGGGAGTTAGAGGGTAAGGGGAACATGGGGAAACCCTCTGCATGTAGAGTTGGGGAATTCAACCCATGGAGGTGGGCACTCAGTCTGCATAAGCACTGGAAAAAGTCAGGAAGCTTTACAAGAAGCTTCAGTATCAACAAACCACCTTCCATGATCTGTTACAATAACGATCGAGGAGAAGAGCACAATATAAGCCACTTTGGGCCCCAGCTGGGGGAGAAAGGCAGGCTAATAAATGAAGTAAGCAAATAAATAAAATGTCCTTTGGTTCCACCCTAGTTCTCTTGCAGCAAAAAAAAAAAAAGAAGAAGTCTGAAATGTTGACAACCATTCTTGAGCATATGCGCTGAACAAAGTGTGAGGCCACATATGGAATAAGTAAATGAAAAGAGTGCCCTCATGAAACAGAAGTATTTTAAAGTTTATAAATTATTTTTATTTTGATGGTGAAAAAGGCAACCAACCACCACCACCACTAGAAAAGGAAGTTTCTTAGTGGAATTAAAAAAATATATGGGTGTGAGGGTTTTTTGGAATATTTTATATGTATTTGCAGAAATTTGATGCAGAAGTTTTAAAGAGCATCACAGGATTTCTTTAGCTCTTTCTGCTAAATAAAGTGAACAAACCAAAAAGTTTGAGCCTAGAACCAGGGCCATTTCAACAGCAACTAACCTTGGGAGGCTGCTCTATTCCAGTGCAGCAACGCTCTGGTATAAGTTTCATTTTCTTCTATGATGCTGGCTTCTTCTGCAGGTTGAATAAAAGTTTGAGAAAATTAAGACACAAATCATCTTTAAGTCCAGAAGAACTCAGTACCCACAAGGCCCAATGAAACACTACTCTGATTAGCTACACTGAAAGTGAGGCCGGGGGCTCACAGTACAATCCTCAACAATTATACTCTTCTACCTCCATTGACTTGGAAGGATGTAATTCTGCTTAGAACTGCATTGTCAGAGCAGTAGAAACATGAAGGGTGCAGTCACACGCACCAAATAAAATGGGGCAGAGGGGAAGCAAGGCTATTTCCTCCGGAGGAATTTAACCCAGTTGCGAGATCACACCTCCCTTTGAAGCTGTGGGCACGTCAGTGTGTGATCAGACGCAACTGCGGGTGAGTCGTTTTTTTCCCCATACGCTTAAACAAGGAATCGATGAATCGCACCTCTGCACTGAGGGCTCCCTATGGGGTTTGCGAAGATGTGCATACTGAGAAGGGGGAAAAAAAACAACGGCAGGGAGTTAGGATGGCCTGATCAGACCATCCCAATGGCGTGGGAGCATGCTGGAGCAATTAGACAGGGGAAAGTCTGTCCGCGGTCCTTCGCAACCTGTTTACTACTGGATTTTCCCTGGTGTCTTTTAACTCTCTTTCTGCAGTGGAGCAAAATGGGTTGCTGATGGCTGCAGGACGCTTCCCAGATATTGTTGTCTGATCACTCCCGTTAAATCCACCCAGCATTTGTGCCCATGTCGGGTTTAATTGTGCGTATGATCACAGACAAAGACTGAATGCCTGTGTGACTGCACTGAGAAGCCACTGCTTACACCTGCTGCTTGCCTATGATATTTTTCTGCTGAAAGCCTGCACTGTATTTGTAAGTGACATAAGGGACTGAGATGTTGAATAGCTCAGACATCTGGGTTTGACACCTTAAAATTCCCCACACCCCACCTCCTTCCACGTATCCCACTGCACCACACAAGATCAATTAACATTATTATTAGGAGACATGCATCTGAAAACTGACCCTGCCTTCAGAGATTTTTTTGAGTGCCCTTCTCTGTGATGGCTCTTCAATGATAAACACACAGATATACTGGTTCTGCATCTGTCCCTCTTCTCTTTTAAAAAGGTAAAGGAGCCCTTGCTCGAAATCCAGTCGAGTCCGACTCATCTCCGTTTCAAAGCTGAAGAGCCAGTGCTGTCCGAAGACGTTTCTGTGGTCATGTGGCCAGCATGACTAAACACCAAGGCGCACGGAACGCTGTTCTCTTTTAGCCAGCGCCTTATTCTCTCAAGGGGCTGCGAGTCATAAGGTTGTTCTAGTTTTACGACTGCTAGTTCTGTTACCATCTTATGAGCTAAGACAGTTCTGGATGGTAAGCTGCCTTGAGGGCTTGCAGTGGAAAGGGCTAATTTAAGAGGATGCTTTTGTATTTTATTAGGACAATATTTTGTATTTTATTAGGACAAATTAAAAAGATATATTTATTCATTCAACTTTAGTTAGGCAAGGAGCCAGTAGCAGCTGCACCTTGACACTGGTCCAGCTTGTGAGACATTCTACAAGAATCTCTGAAACAGCACAATGTTTCAATTTGGCAAAAACATTACAAGTGGAACAGAATCAATTGATAACAGCTGTTCTTGGCAACTCTTGTGCTATGTCACGTCAGCTGTTTTATCGTCATCAAAAGGGAGAATGCTCAGATGTGAGATATTGACCCCTTTTCACCTGGCACGAGCCACTGTTCTACTCACTGTAACCCGTTCCCTTACTTTGATCAAGTATAAAGGCAGCATTGCTCTGCGCTACTTCATAGCCTTGCTCTGCCAACAGGAGATACTGAACCACAGCAGAATTTGCATCGCCTTCCTTGTAGCTGTTGTAGGCAGTCATAAGCCTTTCGGACCAGCGGCCTCGTTCACAAACATTCTTAAACAGCTGCAGAGAAAGCAACAGCAGGCAGTGGTAACTTCTTTAACTGAAAAGAATTAACATGCATTCAGGGTACTCAATTTAGGTGCCCTGAAGCCTTTACCATACGTTACTTTGTAAGACAGTCACAAGCATATTGAAAGGGAGCACCAGGTATTCAACAAGAAATAAGAATGACAAATCCTAAAATACAGTGTTAATGAAAACTATTCAGTACTTCACACAGCACCTTAAAATATTGTCTTGTTGTAAGTTCTTCACCTCAACTGATGTTAAACCTCACAGAAGGATGCTTCAACAGGTCTATTTCATGCGGCCAGAGGGGACAGAGTGGCACTACCCAAAAGGAACAAAAAAGCACTTGCCAAGCGCAGGAGAGTTGCCCTCTTTGTATGAGATGTAGGATTGATGAGAACTTGCTAACTGACTCAACAAGTAGTGGTCAAGCAATTTTTAAAAAAAGCATCAATTAAAAATACTTTAATTTGATACTTTTACTAACCACGTGTTCTTATAGAACAGTGAAATTAAACTTTCCATTATTTTAGAAGTTTTGAGCAACATTAAATAAGGTTTCTGTAAGTGTGAATGACTCACTGAACAGCTCTTCTCAGGCTTTTATCCTGACACACCAAGGTGAGGCCAATTAGTTTCATTTTCTTTAAAATGAAATTAGACACGATATAAATGTTTCAGATAATAAACACAAACAAAAAGCACCTATGAAAGAACCTCAACATTCAGGGGCAGTCAATCTCTGATTCCCAGTGCAGCAATCTAAGACCAAGTGCCAGTGGCAGAAGGGGGGAGGTTTCAGTCCACCGGCCATCCCTGCTGATAACCATCAACTACCACAAGAGATGGAGAGTTCCAAGGAGTCCCATCTCCTGTGCATTGATTCCAACAACTTTCATTAGCAAAAGGAAGAGCCCATTCTCCACTTTGGTATTCTATTGATTTAAAGTAATTTGTGTGTTCAATACTGATTAATTTCACTGAGAATACCCAAAAGAACAGTAGGATATAAACAACACACCATCCTGTTCTGAGATACCTGCACAACTATAGCAGGTGGAGAACAGAAGCAGTTGAGTCATGCTGCTAGGTTTGACCCTGATGTCTCCTGGGGGGGGGAGGGGGCTCCACTCCTGCCAACAAGCAACAATGTAATTTATTTACTTTATCATCCACTTTTCTTGTTGAGATTCAAGGTGGATTAGAGTTCTAAGGAAAACACAGTAATTATTCAGCATAACTCATACAATGTAGTAGAACTGGATTACACAATTAAAGCACAATGAAATAAAAGCGATATAATGCATTCAATAGTCCGGATAATGAAACAATAACGGTAATTGAAAAAGGCAATCTACACATAATATTCTTGGCTTCATACAATATTTGACACTGGCTTGGACCCTAGGCATCAAGATTGTGCTGCATAAAGAGCAACTTTCCAGCTGTCTACCCAAGGCACCCTCCCCTCCACCGTGTCCCTGGGGACAGCAGACCCCAAGGAACATTATGCAGACTGAAGTGGGGGCCGGGAGAGAAAAGCACGTATTGCCCTCTGCTGCTTGTGGAAGTGGACATGTGTACTGCAAGTGGAAACTGAGGTCAGATTCCAAGACAGTATTTTTAAAGAAATATTTGACCACAGTAAAATAAAAGACTGTAAACAGTCTGGCATGCCATCTTTATTCTGAAGAACTAATTCCTTGAAACCAATGTTCCCTCTAAGCTGCGGAGTCTTGTGAGCAAAAATTCTACTTTGTGAGCTACTGGCATTAAAGTTGTGAGCAAGCGATTTGGCCACTGCATGAATTAGTTTGCCCTGGAGCCATCCTTCCTGTGCTAGGACAAAAATCTGTGAGCTGGAGGCTAAAAAACTATGAGCTAGCTCACACTAACTCAGCTTAGAGGGAACACTGCTTGAAACCCTGTGAAACATACAAGAATTAGAGTCACACAGGCCATCTAGTTACTATCTGTGCCCCCCCCCCAAAAAAAAAAACCCCACAAAGTCTTGTTCGGTCAGAACAAAATTAAAAAATGGAGTTGAACTCTGAATACAAAAATCTTGCTTGGCTGTAATGGAAGAGATTTTGGTCAGATGAAGAAAGGAGTGCATGTGAGATTCTTACCTCAACTGCAGTACGACAGGAGCGATCTACCCCAGTGGCCGTGGCATGCATCTGTGCCAGGTTATAGAAGGCGAGAATGTGGCCTCCCTGAGAAGCCAAGTTGAAAAACTTCAAAGCCTTTGAATAATCCTTTTTGACTCCAATGCCATCTATGAATAGAGAAGGGGTTAGCAGAAGATTAGGGTTGCTTGGTATTATGTAACTGATGCCACTTGGTCTACCTACAGTGTCTCTACCATCTGTAGATTTAAAAGTACAAAAGCTTAATTAAAACTGGGCAAGATTGCAATTATCAAATGGCAGTCAAGAGTAATGCAGTTTTTCTAGAAAAAGTTTAGTTCAGAGAGTGGACAATAGTTGCTAGGTGCCCTCTATGCTAAACGAACTTCCTAAAAGGACTGGAAAATCTTATGTACATAACTATGTATTAAAATCTCATTCTAGCTTTCTTTGGCCAATCTCATCTACAAGCCAATCTTAAGCATTTATCAGAAACATTTTCTATCAAGGTCAGTGACCTACTTCTGGGTTAGTGTGCCCTAGATTTTTTAAAAAAATAACTTTTATTGATTTTTCAAAACAGTAAAATATGAAACTGTTACTGTGCAAACAGACAATAGTTCAATTGATAACTCCAAAAGTGTAAATGATTGAGTGTGACTTGGAATTCTTAAAATAGTGTGCAGGTGCAAAGTGAAGAAAATATATTTCTACAGATGAAGCCACATCAACAAAGTGACCTATAAGAATAATAGAATCTACGTAGTAATTGAGATATTCAGAGTAGTACTAGATCCCTGTAGTGTCTGTTTTGAGGTAAAATGTCGTTCATCGTGCGTGTATTCACAGAAAAGGTACCATTTTTCTACAAAATTAGTTGTTTTGGGAAAGATTTCTAATTGATAGAGGTTGTTTGTTATTTTGTCCATTAAAAAGTGTTCCCATACTTTTGTGAGCCAAATTGCTCTTGATGGAGATGAGATTTCCATCTTAAAGCAATTGCTGTTTTGGCTGCAGTTAGCAGACTCCCGATCTACTCGTAGGAATTGATAGGTCATGCCAGAGATTTAGAAATATTATTTCCGGTGTCAGTGGAATTACTTGGCCCGTAATCAAATGTATTTGTGTTGCTATATCTCTCCAGAAATACTGTATGACAGCACAGTCCCACCAGCAAGGGATGTAGGAGTGTGCCCGAGATTTAAAAGTTAACCACCCCCAAAGTCTAGGACACTAAGAGTATAAGTCATCACAAAATTCATTAAATGTGTGATGAGACTCTAAAGCCCATAAAATGAATTTACTTTCCTTTTCAGGGCTGTGGTCACACACACTAAACAATCCACCTTCAATCCACTTTCAATGCACTTTCCAACTGGATTTTTACTGTGTGAACTGGCGAAATCAAATTCAAAAGTGTGTTGAAAGTGGATTGAAAGTGGATTAGTGTGTGTGACTGCAGCCCAGATTTACTTTCCGTCTAGTCACTGAACACATCAACTGCACAAGACTGTTTATCTTCACAAAGTATTTGACCAAGAACAGGGGGGGAAACCTTGATGCAATCAGGGGACTACCACATGTACTTCAGACGCAATATCTGCCTTTTAGACAAAAAAGTCCCATAAAATATGCAGAAGTGTATTACAAGCCTCCCCCCCCCCCCCCCCCCGCCACGTATCCTTTATCTACAAAGGGAAGAAGCTCAAATGAACTGGATTTGAGTGCCACCTAATGGAAGTTAACTAGTACAGCAAATACAGAACTGTCAATATATAGTTATTTCATCTATAGTCTGCCTTTCTTGCTGAGACTCAGTGTATTATACAATTGAAAAGCAATCCAATAAACAGCACAATGCATACAAACAATACATACAAACCAGATTACAAAATTAAAGAATGTTAAAAAAGCAGAACACAACAAGTTCTCAATGCTGAAGAACAACGCAGTATAAACAGTGTAATACACATAAATAATGCAGTAAAGATGGGTTACAAAACTAGAAAACAATGAAGCTACTTACTGTAATACATAGAGCCCAGTTGAAGCTGTCCATCTACCCACCCTTGATCTGCTGCTTTCTGAAAATATTTCAGAGCCAGATCATAATTCTGTAGAAAGAGCCAGTGGAGGAGAATGGTTAGTACTGGACTAGGATCTGAGAGACCTAGGGTTAAATCTTCACTCAAGTGAATGTACAGAGGAACATTCCTGTATCCGTGTTCTTCACTCAGCTATGGAGCTCCCTGCGTGATCTTCAGCCAGTTACACTTAACCTACCCCACAGGATTGCTCCAAGGATGAAAACAGGGAAGGAAGAGCCCCACTGGCTTGGATCCACCTGAGAGGTTACTGCAAACACAAGGATTCTACTAGCAGGCTGTACATTTCTTGCCTTCCCCAGGCTGTAGCCCCCAAAGTCTCCTGAAATGCTGTTCCTTGGAGATCCTTATCCCCCAGGAGCAGCATTTGGGGCTGCAAGAGGTATGAGGAGATCCACCTCCCATTAAGAGCTGGTTTGCAGACAAGCCTGTGTACAGCCCTGAAGCTGCTTGTATGGTTATCATTTCCATGGGGATTCCATTAAGCAAATGGATATTGGTATTACAAGAAAAGTGGAAATGCTGGACCAAACTTAGACTTTGTCAATCTTGGGTAAAATGAACATTTGAAAACAAGTCTGAGGGACCACCTTTCCCCATATATACCCCAGAGGGCACTGTGGTCGGGGTCACAGAACTGAATGACCCTCCCGGGCCCCAAAGATGCCAGGCTCGCTACGACCAGGGCCAGGCCTTTTCAATGGTGGCTCCTTACTGGTGGAACAAACTCCCAGAAGAGAATCAGGGCCCTGCTGGTTCTTTTACAGTTCCGCAGGGCCTGCAAGATGGAGCTCTTCCACCAGGCTTTCAACTAAGGAGCTGCCCTCACTTTTACCATCAACAAGCCTGGCCCCCAGCCTTAACATCTGGCTTATACCATCAAGTGACTCAGGAAGACCACTGAGCTGGAACTGTCAGCTTGTAAACATCCTCAGTACGCCATCACAAGCAATGAACTGAACGATCACTAGCACCTTATGATTTTATGAGTTTCATCTGTATTGCTTTGTTTTAAAATGATTTTATATGGTTTTATTGGTATTTTGTACCAACGTTGTAAGCTGCCCTGAGCCCGCTCGTGGGGAGGGCAGGGTATAAATTGAAATAATAAACAAACAGACAAACAAATAAATAAAATGTTAGAAATAGGGGTGATTCAATTCCCATTAACATCGCAAACCCTGCCTACTTCAGAGTAATCATTCTGCAGGTAATCAGTAGACTATCTGAATTCTGGGTGAAAACCCTGGAACAAAGAAAAGGAAAGAAGAAGGATATATCTTCCTCCTCTTTTGCTCTCCACAGTCTGGAACTTTTTCAAAGTCAGCCCATTCCCTAAAGGAGCAAACCTCTAAGAATACCAGTTCACCTTCCTAGTCTCATAGCTCTGCACCCATGCACAACTAACACACTTACACTGCAGTCCTAAGAACAGTTGTACCCTTCTGAGTCCTTCACATTAGTGGCCACAGAAGGTTGTAGCTTTGCTTAGAATGCACTGTTATTGCTCTCCCAGTGTACAGAGATGAAACTAAGGCTTTTAGCAGCTAACAATGCCTTAGATTCATTTTCAGGACACTGGGTGAACACTCAAGTATATTATATAATGCAAAGCTTGTTGGACTGCTCATTGGA